TGTGGCACAGTTTCAATGTAACCACTTGTGATCTCGGAAAGAAAACCTTCCTAGTTTTCCGGCACGTTTCAGAGGGCACTCTTAGCAAAGATCACCAACATTGAAAAACTATTTTTATGTCATCTGCATACTGCAGTAGCATCAGTCACAGAGGCAGACTGTTCAACTTACCTAGTTACAAATAGCTAATGAGCTCTCATTCTCTATAGTTGATCAATGTTTTCCAAAAATTTTGCTGCATGCTTGCTTAGTCCCTCTTCAGTTCAGTGATTTTATTCTTATCCAAAGCGCGTACAGTGAAGGCAGTTCTATAGCACTTTCTTGTAGATCTTCGCACTAGCATCTTTATTTCCTAGAGCGAAATGCAAAGCGACTGTTTGACACGTTGGCGACGAGCAATTTTTTGAGTGTCTGTCCGTGTGGACGAGTCGTTTCCGTGCATCTCTAGGCCTGGCTGCACGTATGTGGGAGACGGTCAAGAGGCGCGATTTCTTCGGCTGTCACTAGCTTAAAACTCCCGTTTAGGGCTATGCGAACCTTCAAAAAGTACAGATAAAGTGCATTAGCCTACCATCTATTTGGCATTACCAATTGCTGAGTTTGGCGACTTTTGCTGGAATATAGACCGAAATATTCGAATTTGTTCCCAACTGCATTTTCATTGGTTTTTGACCTTCAAAGTTGCTGTTTTGAACCGATTCCAAGGCATTAAGATTGAGCAACCCATGCAACAGTCTGATACATCTCCTTTCAAAACTTGAATACTTTTAGAAAGTCATAAAACACTTATTATGTGCTATTTGGTGTCCATCTGGCAATAAAAATCGCGCCTCTTGACATACACCCCACGTATGTATGCATGTATCTATGCATGAAGTACAAAACATGCAAGCTCCGCCCCTCGTGGCTCCGCCTGCTCGACCAAAAGTGACGGAAATTGCCCAAAATTCAAGATTTCAAGCGAATTCCGCCATTTTCGAAAGATGGGCGGAGCTCTTCACTGAGGGGCGGAGGTTGCCTGACGGGGCTGGGCCTGGGTCAAAGTTTTTTGAAGTCTTTGCGTTTATCTACGGCCTCTCCTGTTCTTTTTGTGCACAAAAAAGGATCTTGTGAGGGGCTAGGGGTGGGGGTTTTAGAAAAGGGCGGGGCTATCATATAAAATACATCTGAGCCCATGTCGAATATATGAACACAAACTGAAAGGATTGGACAGATGGGATTGAGATAAAGGCCGCCGCGCACCATTGCGCGGCACTGTCGTCAACGTGATAAGGATGGCTGCTGTGTTAAGCAAAACCTTCTTCAGCTTCTTGTTCCTCTGCGGACCCTCCATATCCATTTTTGTGCTATTTTTCTTTACCAGTATTTTCCATCTAGCCTGGAAATTGGCTTTAACTTAGTTATGACCAGAATTTGAATAGAGCTTGAATTATCCTGTCGACGAAACTTGTGCCCAATCCAAGAGATATTCTACGGTACCATGCTGATTTTTGCGCGTCATGGTTGATGTATTCATGAAATCGAATACTAAAGTTGGAACCAAATATTCGTGTTTAAATTATTTGGAAAACTTATTTGAAAAATCATCTAATCAAATATTCGAATAGTGGAATAGTCGGAAAAGACGGTTATTCGCAAATTCGTTCGTTCGGCAAATTTGAAAAGCCTGATTTGAATATTCGAAAGCACTTATTCGAACATTCGAACTATCTAACTTCGTTTTCAGGTTCTGCCAATTTGCGGCTTTTTTACCGATAAAACATTGCGCATCACTACATTTTTTCACCCGCATTTCGCGTTATTGAAAGGATTGCTCCTGTGTATGAATGAAACTCATTGTTGAAAATTCACTGAGTCCAAACGTGAGCATTTCTGTTACTCATTTTCCAAATCCTATCCATTCTCCCAGTTAAGTAGCACTCCGCAAATACTTAAGAATGGCTGGATATTCCCACTTCCACGATTAAGAAAAAAACCATGTCGTCTTGGGATTACACAGCAGATTCTGAGTCTGAGCCCTGCGTTAAGACGCTTCTAACATGAACTAGTAGAAGGGATGATAATGAATTTGAAGTAGTTTTGCCTCTTCTATGATAATCATTGTAGAGATTGAAACACAACAAAACCCACTTTTACTCAAAAAAGCCAACGGAAATCCTTCTCTGTTCCATAGTGGAGGAATCACTATAATAAAGTTTCAATTTTTTCAAAGAGTTGCCGTTATCTTGCCATCCTGGTAGACTGCGAAAGACTACCCAGGTATACGCAGTTTGAGCGCAGGTTAACCAGCTTTGCTTATTCAGTCTTGCTGGTATTGTCTACGGAATAAATTAAGGTCGTTTGAGTGGAAGGAACCTAATTTGCGTCAGAAAACAAACCAAACCTGAAAACTCTTAACTCGATACTAATATAATATACTGATCGGATACATTGAATCTAAATTAGAACTCTCGATTTTCTTTAATGCTGTTTGATAAGTTATAGCAGATACCGTAATTGCTGTTTACTCAATGTTCCTTCAAAATGTTTGATGCTTTTCAATGTTGTAAAAGCAACTACAGATTAAGCAAAACTTCAAATAGAATTTTGTTAGACAACTTTTTCTTGAAAGATTTTTGGAAAAGGCGGCTTAATCACAGTGGCGCTGTATGCCAGAAGTTCTTACATTAGTGTAGCTTTACAGTGCAGAAGAGCAATCAATGATTTAGTACTGTAAATCGTTGAATAAATATCCGGGGTTCCTTTTCGATTTATTATTTCAATCCTAGTGATGCTGAAGTTTTGTTATATTATGAATTTTAGAAATGATGGACTTTTGCTTCTCTCAAGCTAAAATTGCCAAGGAAACCGAGTAAACAAAATTACAAACTGAACAAGGTTTTGTTAATCGATGTGACTTTGATAGCTTTTTGACGTTCTAGCTTTATTATTTGGACATTTTCAATTCAAAATGAGCTCATAAATCACCACATAGTCGACTTGGCTTTTTTTTACGTATGAGAGATGAGATTAAGGGAGTGGTTACTCGTCGTTCAGTTAACTCAGTGTCTTCAGTGCAGCAATCGCGAGCGCACAGTATTCTCTCCTGGAAGCGTAAGCCAAAAATTGTCATATTTGAAAACTTCCAACTATCAATTTGCTAATGTCCCATTTACTTCCAGAATTCTCGAAACTTCTACTCAAGATTGAAAGAAAGCATGCTACTCACCTATCGTACTGCGATCGTAGTTCTGGCAATAGCCGGCGGAGTTCTAGACGGTAGGCCTACCGAAGCTACAACCAGTGGTTCCACGGATGATGAATACACTCCTACTGTAACAAACAGTTCTACTGAGGCAACAACCAGTTTATTCACAGATGACCCATACAGCCTTATCAAGGCAACAACTGGTGGGTCTTCGGATGATCCATACAGTTCTACTGAGGCAACAAGGACTGAATCCATGAATGATCCACACACCCCTGCTGAGGCAAAAACCAGCGGATCCACGGATGACCAATACAGCCCTACTGAGGCAACAACCAATGGATCCACGAATGGTCCATATAATCCTACCGAGGCAACAACCAGTGAATCCACGGATGATCCATACAGCCCTACTGAGGCAACAACCAGTGGATCCAGAAATGATTCATACAGTCCTACTGTAACAATAACCAGTGGTTCCACGGATGATCCATACAGTTCTACTGAGGCAACAAGGACTGAATCCATGAATGATCCACACACCCCTACTGAGGCAAAAACCAGCGGATCCACGGATGACCCATACAGCCCTATTGAGGCAACAACCAGTGGATCCAGAAATGATTCATACAGTCCTACTGTAACAATAACCAGTGGTTCCACGGATGACCCATACAGCCCTATTGAGGCAACAACCAATGGATCCACGGATGGTCCATACAGTAAGTCCTTCTTTTTAGAGCCTTTTAAAGCCGAACCGCCAAGGGTTATAATGACCAGAAATAAACAAAAACTGATAGAAAGCAGACCCATTGAAATGCTAGTAAAAGCTGACTTCCAAGATTAGACAATGTTCAGTAAAAATGCGATTGAGGCAACCTCGGCTGATTCACCATTCTAGTGCGATACCAAACATAGCAATCAAATCTACCCCAAAATGTAACCCGCAATTGACCCTGAGGTCAAGCTACATCCATTTTGAGCGTTTTGTCTGGCATTTGTTCTTTTGAGATGAGAGCAGTACAGAATCCCTCCAAGTTCAGAGAAAATAACAAAAACATCCTCACCCTTAGTACCTCAGTAGTAAGCCTGCAAATAGCGTCAAATTATAGAGCAAATCACATCAAATCTGTGTTGGTTACCAAACTTACCAAACGGAATGCACTCCTTTTGCGTGGCAAAACTTGTCCAGACATTAGCTCGCTGGCAGGCTCAAACAGATACCTGGCACAAACTGTGACGCGTAAGTGCATATTTTGTGCTAGTTGTCCAGGCAGCCGGTGCCCAAAAAGGGGGTATTGTTTCTAACCAAAACTTATGATTATCCACGAGCCCTACGTAGGTCAAAGGAAAAAGGTCCGCACTGAAGATTTTACGATTTGCTAGAGCGGAGATAAAACATCAAAATCGTATAGAAATGGGAGATGGGTCAAATCATGCACAACATTGGAAAGAGCCCCTCGAAAGTTTGCGAGTAATAAAAAAGCCATTCTTCTTGAATCCAGAAATTGCGTATTTTTGCGGTAAAATTCCATGCTTTTCAAAGAGCGGACTATTTACAAATTCAAAGTAGTTGATTAACGATAACGAAAAAAAAACTTTTGGTAGGGCATGGTTTTACCCAAAAAAAGTTTAAAGAAAAGTGGTATTCAAAAGCTTTTCATACAACTTCAAATAAGTCGGAATTAATGTTAACACTCAAAAATTTTTCATTCTTCATCATTCATATTCAGATTGCGCGGCGAAAGATCGAGGACTTTTTGAATCCAACCTCCTACATGTTCGAAATGCTCTACGCAACGATTTGTGCGTCATGGGCACAGGCAATTTGTCGCAGAAGTTAGCAGAGTCATTAAATCAAACCTTCATGGAGCTTTGTAAAGCCAACATTTCTGATTTTGCCTACAATTGGTTTCAAGGGAGACTACCGCACACAAGAGAAGCTTCCAAGTATCGCTACAAAGGACTATGCCCATGTCCGTGTGCGAAAATGTGTAACGGCAGCGCGGATTTTTCCTATGTGGGCAAATGTAAGGAGATTAATGTATCTAACAGCTACTTCTTCACCCTTGCACCCGAGACAACAACGACAACTCTCGGTACAACAAAAACAGTTACTCCTGTACTGGATGTCGCACGAAATTGCAGCAAGTATAGAATCCACACACCTCCAGTGAATATGTCAGATATCAAATGTTTTGAATTCAACAGCAGTTGGCTCGACAACCTTACCGATATTTCCACGAGAAATAAGGCGTTACAGTTTTGCGATGGCGATATCAATTGTTGGACCTACAACAATTTGATGAAATTTGTCAGACTTCGCAAACTTTTCCACGCAATATGGAATGACCCCCGCGATTTATGTCCCTGCAGTAATATGAGTAAGTGCCGTGGCCAATTTAGTCCAAAATCATGCACTCCTGATTTCAAGCTCGAAATAATGCTAGCTCGCGATAGTGTTAGCCGTGAAACTTTTAACATAACATTACCAACAGAATGCAAAGAGAACGAGCCACCCTCGTCGGAACTATTGGAGCAAACTTGCTACAGTTTCCTTAAGCTTGATCGTTACGCGACGCCGACTGCTAATTTCAGCACATTTTGCCCTGGTAGTAGTATAAATTGCTGGGTGTACAAGGATTTAATGGAAAGCATTCATCTCCAAAAATTAGCAAACATGACAGTGCCTTACCAAGGTCTTTGTCTGTGTAAGGATATTAGCATATGTAAAAATTCCAAGTCATACTTCAACGAAACGTCTTGTTCCCAGGAGTATCTACTAAGGATTGCAGAGCCTTTGGAAAAGTCAGGCTATACAGTATTCACAGAACCTCCTCACAACACTACCGCACAAACTACAATTGACCAAGTAAAGAATGCTACTACTACAACGCAAAAGGACTTTACATATTCAAGAACAGAAACACTAACTAAGGCAGAAATTTCCAGTGTTTCATCGCTTTCCAGTAAAGGGATGCAGACCTCCACACTTACCTCTTCACCTAGGAAAGAAAGCGACAGTGCTTCTCTTGGAACTACCGTCATGACCACATCACTTTCCAGTAAAAGGATACAGACCTCCACACTTGTTTCCTCACCTGGGAAAGAAAGCGACAGTACTTTTCTCAAAATCACCGTCATGACGACTTCTCATTCTGAAGCATCGAGTGCGTCTGACGGCGAAGCTGAGCAACCGACGTTGATCGAGTACGATATTGTAAATACAAAATCTATCCAGCCATCTTTTGTCACCACTGGTTCGGATGATGAGTCTGAATCAAGCGTAGTCACTCCTGCACCTCGCACTTCAGTAGCTTCTAAAGAAAGAACACCCACCACATCTTTTGTGACTACAAATTCTGTCCAGCCATCTCCTGCCACCACTTTGCCAACTGTCGGATCTGAATCAAATGAAGTCACTCATACATCTCGCACTTTAGTAGTTTCTGAAGAAGAGATAAACACCACATTTTCCTGTTTCCGGGGACCACAAACTGATGATTCTAAGAGTATACCTACAAAGCAGGCTACGGCATCTTCAATGCAATCAAGTGGTACGAGTGGCACGGAGAAGTCCAGCAGTAATCCTTTGCCCACGACAAGCTCTGATAGTACATCTTTGGGTGCACAAAACAGGTCAGCAAGCGATGTTCCAGACATTAATGCTAGCTCTACTTTCAACCATGCAAACCTGAGCACCGCAACTTTCAGAGTTTCAGAGAAGGGAAGAGATCTTACGAGCGCACCGACAGATTCGGATACAAGTAAGAAAGCCCGAAATACTGTCGTGATGGCAATCTCAGATAAAGCCAGCCTCGGCATGACCAAAGGAACGGATTTGATTTCGATTACAACTCAGCTTGACGATCATAACATCTACAACAATACAGCCATCATTTCTACGACCGTTGGTACTTCTGATGAATTATCTAATTCCTATGAGACGTCACCCGAAAAGCTCGCAAAAACGAAAGGAATGTTTGCTGCAGAGACGACCACACCAGTCAATACTTCCTCACTTTCTCATTCTGCTGTCGTCGGCTCTTCTGATGCATTTGCCATGACGATAACCAGTGACTCCACGAACGAAGACACGCTTGAAGCATCGACAGTGCCAGCCATACAAGGTGAGCCATCATTAGAACTTTCCAGTCAACCCATTTCCGAAGATGCCGAGCCTTTCACGTCCAACAGGCACCCAACAAAATATTTGACAGAGCCAGCCACAACTGCAAACGGAGTTGGAAGTTCCAACCACTCAACAAAAGATTCAACACCTCACTCCACTTTTGTTTCCCTCAATTTATCTGAAATATTGGGATATCCGTCAGTCATACAAAAAGTTTCCACTACAGACAGAAAGGCTAGATTTGACTTCAGCTTTAACGCGAAAGAAAAATCGACATCCACGCAGAAGATTTCTTCAAAGTTTCGAGTAACACTATCTGATATTTTGACGACGAGAAATGGCCACAGCACACCGATGAAACCGACGTCTATGTATAGAAAGTCTCCAAACACCGGTCATATTACTTTATTCAAAATCTTGACGAGATCTCCCATAATAACGCCATCCAGCGCTGGCAACCTTGCTTCACAGGAGATTACATCATACAGCGAATCAAATCCGAGATTTGAGACTTCAGCTAAAGTGCGTGTGGACTTGAGTACGAACTTCGAATCAATGGCGAGTTCAGCGCATTCGGCTATAGAAGAGGTTTATCCTTCTTTCAGTGTTAGCAATCCTTATGAGAAGAAGAGATCTCATACTTCTCCTGGCGCAAGAACTGACATCGGTTCAGTTACATCCGGTAAAATTCCTTCTGGCAACACTGACAAACTTGAGTCCTTCAGTACTTCCACAAGCAGCTTGCCCAAGACAGGGAACACTGGCAAGCCTAATCTCATCCTCATCTCCGACAGCAGCGGAACTAGTAGTAGAAGGAGAACACAGAGCACAACGAAGAAGACAACATTCGCCCATTTGACGTCCAATGAGAACGAATCTTACATGCATGTCCAGAGAGCGTTGTCTTCTAGGAACTTGCCTAAAGCGACGACATCCTCACCATTGAAGTCAAGTGTTTACAAAACCGTTAGCGAAGTGGAAGCCAAAGATGGAGGTAGGGAGTATGGCACAGACGCATACATCAAATCGGCAACATCAACGTCGAAAACACCTTTCAGCAGTATAAAAGGTGAATCTGTTACGAAAGCAGACACACCCAATCTCAGCGTATCTTCGAGTTCCGAGCAGAGTTACTCCAGTCGCCATACCAAAAGTTTTTCGGCATCTCTACCTGTCGATGACAGCAAAACAAAGAAGTTGTCAACAGTCGTCTTTACAACACCTAAAGCATCCGTGACGACGGCAAATAACATTTTAGCTTCTGAATTTACAGTGGATCGTCCGCACATTACTCCAATGACAACTAAAGGAGAAGTCGAACAGTCGGCAGGAAGTGGAGAATCCTTACCCTCTGAACCTACATTGGGCAGTTCGCACTTTTCTCCAACTACAACTAAAAGAGAAATTAAACACTTGGCAGAAAATGGAGAAGCCTTATCCTATAAATCTACATTGAGTAGTGCGCACTCTTCTCCAAATACAACTAAAAGAGAAGATAAGTACCCTAACGACACAATCACTTCCACTTCCACAATCATTCCTTACACGCTCACGGCCAATTCTAGCCGGGAAAATATTCGGAAAACATCAACGTTCGAGATGACCAATGCTACACTTTCGTTGGCGAAAATTTTTGACTCATACATTAACGCTTTAACTTCGCCTTTTTCATCATACATAAACAGCAAGTACACTACGGCAACTGACAACACAACGTCAAGCAGTTATGGGACATGGACCGTTCTTGCTACCATAAGGAACATGGGCGATAACTTTTTCTCGCCAACTTCTTCACCGTCTTCAACCGAGGTGAGTTTTATACGTTAGCTAGAAAACGAATTTGATTGAGTTGGCCTTACTAAGCATACTCTTTAAAAAGCAAAATACTTGACGTCGTTTAACACATTCACGACAGGGCCGATTTTTCGATGGGTGCCATCTCGGACCAGAGCATATTTTGCAAAATTGAGTTTGCGTGATATTTCAGGTCACTGATGGGCCCTGTGATCTGAAGTGTTAATCTTTTGGGAAGTTGTTGCGGCTCGGTGGGCTCTGCGCCCCCCTCACCTAGTGCTCGACTGCCTTGCGTCTCAGCTCCTGTCCCCAAAGGACTTCCGCCACTGCGGGTGCGCGCTAGCTCGCAATGGCGCGTTACGCCTACACTGCACACGAAACAACAAATATACATAAATTTACTAAACAAATAAACACGAGAAAAATACACGATATAAATAAATATAAACACACTTACCACGGGGAGAGTTAAGCTCTACCCCGGGCTACCGATGGGGACTCTATCTTACTCACACTCACACACTAACACACTCAAACACTCTCCCGGCATCCAAAGGAGCTACCCACAGGCCGGCCGCGCGCCGCCAAGGCAGCAGCTACGGCACGGCAACACCGACCCCATGATATTAATCAGCAGCATCGAACCAAGCTCCCAACGACTCCTGCGCAACCACGGCGCTTCATGATGTTCATCATCCTGGAATTCTATCCTCGCGCGTACATCCAAAAATCCATCAACGATCCATCCAATCGCGCGAGGCACGGGGACGTAGACACGACGGCGATATCGTGTAAACCCAACCGATCAATAACAAAGGCGGCACGACGATAATAGTAAGATGATAAGACGAGAGAGAAGCCGCACTGGCGCGCGTACGCGCTATTTATAGCGGTGGCTGGGGACGTGCCTACGTGGTGTGGTCTCGGAGCGAACAAGGTAGCCGCCGTAAGCGCGGCGACCGTGCTCACGACCGAGACGCGCGGCAACACGGTGTTCCCGGCCACAAATAAATATGAACAATAATTAAAAATACTTCTATAGCTACTAAACTATGTACACGGTTTCACGATAGGCATTCCAGCCCATAACATCGCCACCAATCCATCTCGCCATCCATCTCGACCAGCGCTGATCTTACTGCGCATCCAACTCGCATTACGTCCCTCGCACCATCAACATCTAACCACTCTAAATACACTCATAGGTTCAACGTCGAGGGAGCGTAATGCCCGGAACAAAACTTATCACCTGCGAACCTACATGACGCGCGTCCTGGAACGCATACCCTGAAACAAAGGAAAACCTCCACCCTCTCTTAATTTTGACTTTATTTACGATAAAAAAGCACAAATTGAAAACAAAAAATGAGAGGGTGTTGGCTTCCAAACGAAAAGGTACTACGTCTTTCCAGAAACATCCCCAAATTTGCGCATCTAACACCCATCCGGACCGAATTGGACGAAGGTCCAGCCTCCGAGGACGAAATGCCTCGACGAGGGGATCGACCACGCAACTCAAGGACCCGGGGGTGCAGCACTGTGGGTCTGTTCAAGGAAAGACGGCCCAGCCTATAGAGCAGATGTTACGGGAGCCTGGTGGACTGCTCGCAATGGCTTTATGGTCGGGACTTAGACAAACAAGACGGCACGTCCGGTGATGGTTGCAACTTCCTAAAATAGACTTTACCGCTAGGCTGCTCGACCAAGTAGCAACAATAAACAAGTTACAATAATTAGCGGAAAATTTAAAAGATGTTAACGCGCTACTACAATAGGAAGTATGGCTAGTAAGGAGCTGATGGTTGACTAAGATGTTACGCGGAGCTTCGTACGGCGCGACAGATCTTAACGCTTCCCACAAGTGCGGCAGATGATGTTAACTAGTGGGTTAACTAGCGCGACAGACCTTACACGGTAAGTAGGCAAAGTATAAAAATAAGTATAAAAATAAAGTTTTAGAGGCGCGACAGTCACAAGGATTAAAGTGTAAAAAGGAAATTGACTGATGCGCGACTACAAAACATTAGTGAATTTGGAAATATAAAATATAAAAAGGGAAATTCAAAACAAAATTTGATTGATGTTGCCTACTACCCGTTCGAGTCCACACTATCACCAGGTTGCGCGTCCGCCAACGGATCTTGTGGTTTTACCGCAGGTACTCGACCACGCCACGGATCTCCCTCATAGAGGGATCACAGCCGGTTAGTCGCGAGCCTACGTGGGGCGTCCCCAGGTGGCGGATAGGGGGATAATCGCCGACCAAAAGCGACCCCGCGCCTGCTCTGATAAGCAAGCGGAGCCGGGGGACGGACTCCCTGCCTCCACTAAAAGCTTGCGCCCTAATTTCCCGGGTAGGTGTGTGGGGAGGCGAGTTCGGAGTCGCCTCCAACAAATAAGCTCCGATCGTCCCTCGCGGGGGTTTTGAGCCCAACAAGCTATCCCTGCGAGTAAATTCTTGTTCGACACAGTGATAAAATGGAAAGCTCCTTTAATCTTGGAAGAGCCACTGGTAAGGCAGCGCCAGTGGGGACAAGGTTTGAAAGGCGATCTAGGCTGCCGAAAACGAGACGGACTATGATAACGATCTGTACTTACAACGCGAGGACGCTGGCATCGGACGCATCTATCGAAGATCTCATGATGCAAGCAAGGAAGATTAAGTACGACGTCATCGGACTGACCGAGACAAGGAGGCACCACCCGCTGAACGCCACATTTGAGATTGGAGAAGAACTGTTTCTAGGAACATGCGACAGTCGAGGAGTAGGTGGAGTGGGAGTCCTTGTCAACACGAGTTTGGCCATGAACATCGATTCGTTCGAACAACTTACAACTCGAATCGGACGTTTGCGAATATCAAGATGTGGATCAATCCCTGCCTTGACCGTCTTCATTGCGTACGCCCCAACATCCAGCTACGACGAGGACGAACTCGAGGAATTTTATATGGACTTGGAGAAGTTCTACAGAGAAGATCATACCTTCTACAAGATCATCGTCGGTGATTTCAACGCGAAGATCGGAACTAGAAGGTCGACTGAGGAACTTCACATCGGAACCCATGGTTTGCAGTGGAACGAACAAGGGGAGAGACTGCCCGAGTTTATCATGACGACGAGGACCATGGAAACTCACAGTTCCAAAAGCCCTCTTCCCTACGCTGGACCTGGGAATCGCCCGGTGGACAGTACCATAACGAGATTGACCACATCATCGTCAACAGAAGGTACTGCCTGACGGACGTCGCTGTTGTTCCGAAGTTCTACACGGGATCAGACCATCGTCTCCTGCGCGCCAAATTCTACTTTCCGCGGAATGGAGAGAGAGCCGTCAAGTTCAGGAAACATCGTCCCATAAATACCACCAACTGGGGTCTGTTTTCTTCGATATCCGGCTCATGGCGAGATACCGTGATGGACAACATCGACGAAGAATACAAACGGTTCGTACAACATCTCCACGGTTGTGCCAAGGAAGCTCAGAGTCTAAGAAGTACGAGAAGGCGTCTCACCACGGGGACTTTGGAGCTGATACGCCAACGTGGACGCGCACGAGCCACAGGCAACTACCGACTGACGTCCGAGCTTGCGAAGCGATGCAGAGAAGCGATAAAAGAAGACCTTAAGGAGAGAAGAGTAGCAGTGATGGTTGACGCCGCGGAGGCTGGAAGAAGTATACGCAACGCCCGCTGAAGCTTCGTCAACTTCAAGACAAAGATGACCGCACTTCGTCGTCCTGACGGAACCATAACTGCTTCCCGAAGATCAATGGAGAAGGTCATCCGCGACTTCTACTCGGATCTTTTTGCGAGCCACGTCCACCTTCCACCATGCCATCTCAAGGAGGACGAGTATGTCGCACCGTCTGTTCTTCCTTCCGAGATTCGTCATGCTATCATGTCGATGAAAAACCGTACAGCACCCGGTCCCGACAGGATTAAGCCAGAACATCTGAAGAATTTTTCGCCAGTTCTCATCAAGACTTTGGCAAGGCTCTTCACGCGGTACCTGACGGAAGGCAAGGTTCCAAGGCAATGAAAGACCAGCAAAACCGTGTTGCTGTACAAGAAGGGAGATCCCTGCGACATCGGCAATTATCGCCCTATCTGCTTGTTGTCTGTAGTTTACAAACTCTTTACGCGAGTCATTCTCAACAGGATCGGAAGAGAGTTGGACGAAGGACAACCATGCGAGCAAGCTGGGTTTCGAAGAGGATTCAGCACGATCGACCACATACACACGGTGTCAAGGCTCAGTGAAGTGTCACGAGAGTATAAGATGCCGCTCTGTCTCACCTTCATCGACTTGAAGAAGGCCTTTGACTCGGTTGAGACTGAAGCCGTCATCGATGCCTTGAGCAATCAAGGTATTCCGACTCATTACATCAAGATAATTCGTGAGCTGTATAACGACTTCACAACCACCATAACACCATTCTACA